TCTGCTCACAACTCATTGGCCGGGACTAGTCATGTGGCCCCACCCAATCACAAGCAGCCTAGGAAGTAGAATCCTACCATACCCCAGAATGCAGAGAACCGGAAACCCTTGTTCAGCCATACTAAGGACTAGCATAGTAGAGGCATAATTTGTGCTTGTTTGGGGCATCTCAACCTATAGTTAACTCACTCAGTCACTGAGAAATCTTGCTTCAAGCCAAGCAAAGTCTTCTTCACGTTTATTCTGAGGATAAAGAGAAGCAAGAGATGAGGGAGCGAGATGGTTAGGAAAAATGGGGAAAGGGAGGGAGAAGAGAGATGAGAAAGATATAAATAAGAAATGTCAGGAAGGAAAGCAGGAAGGTAGGAAAGAAGCCAGTCAAAGAAAATATAATTATTGCAGAACATTCATCATCAATGAAAGGGTACATTTAGCTATAGCATTGAGACTCTAACTTCTGTTAGAAATTTCCAGAATTACTAGAGTTCTTAGAAGGGATTTCCTGTTTCCTGTTTCACAATCAGAGAATAATTGCAGCAAAAATTGACATTTGAATGTTTAACCATTTCCAAATTGATGTCACTGACGTCCTCCTGCAGGATGGTTACTATTAGCCCCATTTTATAAACCCCGCCTCTGAAGCCCGAGAGGTCTAATGAGAAGCTGCTCCACTGGAGAGTGATTTAGCGGGGAGGCGGGCCATGGGGCAGAGGCGTGCAGGTGGAAGAAGGGGAAGGAAGGAGGGTGAATAGAAACACAGGGGAGAGGACACGGTCCCAAGAAACTGGCCCACGAATGAGGAAGCCCTGACTCCCAGGATGGGAGGGTACAGTGGCAGAGGGGTTTCCATTTGCGAGGCCTCTGGTCTTTTTCAGGAATGGCTTCTTGCACTTTGGATGATGCCCCAGATCGTTTCAAAGTCATAACAATAATCAGAGCAAGTGGTCAAAGATGGTGAAGTATGAATCAAATTTTCCCAGGACTTGTTCAGAATGCGGGGTACAGGAAAGCAAGCTGTGACAGAGCCACCTGTGCCAGCACCCTGCTAGGCGAGCCTCAAGAACCAGGTGTGGAAGAGGGACCTCAACCTGCGGCCTTGGTCGCTGCCAGGAGCAGCAGATGGCACCTGCCGGACATAGATGCCCAATAGCCTGGGGTGACTGCTCATAAAGGACAGCCCAGCAGCGTTCGTTATTTCTCCCTGGGTTCAGCTCCTCTGGGCAGGCCCAGGAGGCCCAGAAATCAGGAAAAAAATATTATATTAGGTTCAGCACTCTTTGCCCAATGCAAAGAAGATTCTTAATTCCATGATGTATGTTTTTCTAAATCTGTATTTTATTTTTGCGTCTCCACTTTTCCTAAAAAATTTCCTTATAATCCTCAAATATTTAAGTATTTGAAGTAAACTATTATTTTGAAGGTGAGATTTCCAACTTTTCCTGGACAAAATCTTTTCCTGGGAAGAAGTTTTTGGCAGCTAGTCCCTTGACAAACAGCCCAAGAGCCAATTGCTGCATGTAATTTTAAAAGTTGAAAAACTAATGATGATTTTATGGGTTCTTTACCCTTGTAGCAGTGTTGATGTGTTCTCCCCAAACTCGGGGAGTGGGTGGAGAGGCTGGAAAGAGAGTTCCTGGGAGGCTCCCAGAGGGAAAGTCTCTGCGAACATTTCCCCAAGAGCTGCATTACAATTCAGCCTGGGGCGGAGCCCCAGAATGCTGGCACAGCTCAGGGGAGGGGGGTTCTGCCCCATCCCTCCTCCCCGTCCCATCCCCACCCCTGCAGCTCCTGCTGAGGGCCCTGCCTCAGGTGGCTGTCAGAAAATCACACCTTTCCCACCCACCTAGGGTACCACCCACCTAGGGTAGAGCCAAGGCCTGCCAGATGCTGTGGGGTCCAGGAAAGCTTCTCTATCTAGGACTATGAAACACAAATTCTCTGAAAACTCCATTGTCAACATTTCATGGAGCAAATCAACTTGGGGGGTTAGGTCTTCAAAATTCTCTGCTCATTTCTCGGCACAGTATATCAGAAAAGGACAGATGGGTGGGCATTTAAAATGTCATTGTTGTATTCTGGCCAGTTTTCTCATAACCTTGAGATACTACAGAGCAGAAGAGAATGTTCTCTCAGCCGCGACACTGTGTGGTAAATGTCTATGGGCCTGTGACCTGAAGTAGAAACACCTATTTAAATTGTTGCTAGATAATTTTTTAGATGGTAAAATTCACTTGGAGGTTGCCACACAAAGTGTGATCCTGGAACCAGCAGCAAGGACAACACCTGCAGTGTGTTCAAAATTCGGAATCGGAAGCCCCAGCCCAGGTTTTCTGAACCACAACCTCTATTTTGACAACATCCCTAGGTGATTTCTATACACATAAACATTTGAGAAGCGATGCTCAGAGACACATTTCCACCCTTTGGAACGTAAGGGACAACTGAAAGAACAAAGGATTTGTGATCAAAACATGGGCTCAAGTGTTCAGTGAGGGTGGCAGGACAAATGTAGTCCCAGAGAAGTCCCAGGTGAGGGAAAGAAAGAAAGCACCACAGAGGCCACAGAAACGGGGGCTCAGCAGACTGCCCGGTCATGCGCAGAGCCGGTCCTCCCCGTGGTGAGAGCAAGTAAATGTTCTCAAAACTTGCTACTGTGGTACCAGCTTAAGTTACTTTAGTGTATTTGACACCATACAGCACTTCCTGTGTGCCAGGGACAGTTCCAAGCACTTGGCAAATGTTAACTCACGTAATCCTTACAACGGGCCTGTGAGGCAGGTCCAGGAATTACCCTCACTTTACAGAGAAAGGGCCTGAGACCCAGGACCTTCAGTAATTTGCCCGTGGCCACAGTCAGGATTCAGCAAAACCAGGATTCCAACTATGCAGTCGGGTTGAGTCTGCTCTTGAACAATAAGCTGAGTTACTTCTCAAATGGTGGAGAGAATGGAAACTCGAGGCCAGGCATTCTAAACTGACGTGTTTTGAAGTCCTTTGTGATATATTTAAAAATGTGTGCCACTTTTGCTTTTTATTTCATCAGACATCCATATTTGTTTTAACATAAAAGTTATTCTTTCAGTTGCCTTCTACTGGATAAAACTAACGTTTCTGTCACGTAGCATCACGTACAGTGTGGGGGACCTGAGGTGCCTGAGAAGCACAGACCAGTGCCAGCTCCCTGCAGCCGCGGGGCCGAGTCCTAGTCCCATAATGTGACGCCCTGAGGGGGTTCCCAGGCTGAAGGAAGGTGGGCAGACCACAGCTTTCAGTTGAAATCCCGGGGATTTAAGGGAGAATCCAGCTGAGAGCGACCGAAGCCGGGCAGACCTCGTTCCAACTCGGAGAAGCTCGTCAAAGAAATCCTTGCTTGACATTGTTTATATTGTTCATAAAATAAAGTATGAATTTATGCCTCCAGTATTCACGCAAATACAGCTTCATGCTTACAGTTTTCAAAGACAAAAGTTTTTATCAAATATTCAAATCTTTGATTTAATCCTCAAAGATAGGCAAAAACCAAATAATAACTATTATGAAAGATTTCAGAAGACCTCTTAATGGATAATTTATCTTCTTCAATAGAAAAGTGTACACAGATTTTCCATGTAGTTTCTTATAAATGCAGGCGTAACGGAACGGTCTTCTTTGCTGAAAGTGTCCTCTACTTGCAAGTACTGAGCATAGCTAAGTATATAAAAATTTCTTAGTCAGCATCAGAACCAAAAGTGAAGATTAGAAAGGTACTAAAGAAAGGGCAAGACTGCTGCTAAATTCATTTCTACAGGTTTGAATCCTTTGGCCTTACAAACGTTAGAGAAAAATCAAAGTCCCCCTGTGTGCGTAGTGTAGCCTGGATCAGGGAGCACGCGCTCGATGCGTAAGTAAGCTTGTAAAAAGTACAGGGACATCACCTTCTTCCACCTGGACAGCCTGGGGCAACTTTAGCCTGCTAATTGAGAGCGTGGAATCAGGCTCAGCCAACCTGGCTACATGACTGATTTTCCCACATACTAGTTGGGACTCTAGAGGGTCGTTTGAAGATTAAACAAGAAATGCTTATAAAACATTAAACATTGCCCTGTGGTAGGGGCTCAATAAGTATTCCTTATATGGCTGTGTAATTTCTCCTGGATTCATGAAATGGTACTCCCCATTTCCCAGCCACTCAAACAAAAGCCCTTAACAAAAGACTTATCGCTGCACAGTCTTTAGTTTCACTGAGCAACCACCTGGACAAGGAGAGTCTCAGTTAACCATTTGTGTCACATAACGTAGCTTTAGAACTTCTAGGTGAGAGCATAGTGAGGAACCACGGGCACTGGTGGAGAATACTTAATAATTGTCCCCTTTATTGAGCCAACAAATATTTACCGTGCACCCACCATGTTCACGCTAGCTCGCTACTGTCTGTAGAGGATACAAAGATTCATAGCTCCCGACTCCTAAGACCTAACATCCTTGGGAATATAAAACATGTAAAACAAATCTGTGATTCAGGGTTTACATGCCAATTGCTGGAGGTGTACGTCTGTGAACGTTCTAAAGAAGGTGAGATTCCATTCATGGAAGCCAACGGGAACAGCTTCAAAGGGAGGCAGAACAGAGCTGGGCTGGGCTTCCCAATAAGGGGATCCAAACCTCTCACCATGGCTCGCCAGCCCCGACTCAGCTTGGCTGCTCCCTCTGCTGTCACCTGGCATCACCCTCCCTGAGCTCACTCCCCATCTTTCCCTGCCTCCTCCCTACAAGTGTGTTCAGCCTCGGGGCCTCGATAGTTGCTGTCATCCCTCCTGGAATGTTTTGCCCCAAGTTCTTGATATTGATAAGACCTTTTAGTCAGATCTCAGGCCAAGCAACTGCTTGATTCAGTTCTCTCTCCTCGTCACCAGCTGGCTTTCTCTGCTTCCTCAGAGTTTCTACTCATCATGACAATGTCCGGCTTGTGGTTGGACCCGGTTTGATATGGCTCCAGTTTCGGCTTGTTGCGATCCTTGTTCCAGCCACAAATTCACCTAACAAGTCTTCTTGTCTCTTGGCTTAAATTCTCAAAACTGGCCTTCCTCTCTGGCCTTAGACTATGTACTTCCCTGGCCCGGTTGCTCAGAGTCATGAGGTGGGGGCTACAGTTGAATATATTATAAAAGAGCCTATAATGAGGGGAAGTGATAAATCTTATCCGATACTTTTGTCTAATGAAGTATTTTTCTGACTCCGTTACTAAACTGTTTTATTAATTCTATCAGTTTTAAAGTTTGCTCCTTTGGGTTTCTAAATATTCAAATGTATCATCTAAAAATAATAATAATTGCGTTCTCTTTGTGCCTTTCTTAATTAACCAACTGGAGACAAATAATGATACCGTGCTCCTGGTTTGTTGTGATGCTTAACTGAGTTCACAGGTGCCGAGCCCTGAGGACGGTGCTCAGCACAGAGCAAACGCCCGACAATTACTGGCCATGGCTGTTATTATTATCATTAATTTTCACATCATGATCTTTTGTAGGACTTTAAAATTTGGACTAAGACATGGGGGTTGGTAGAGAAAGGATACCAGGTAGAAGAAGTCATCAGAAACGTGAAAATATAAGACGTGATAAAATTTTTAAATGTCAAGTTATATGCAGGTGATCTTGTTAGACACGCTAAAAGAAATATTAAATTTAAAATCCAGCTTTACATGTTTCCCTGGAGCAATATTTCTCAGGAAAATGTCTGCATCTTCCCTGGGCTTCTTCTGACCATGATGATCAACACTCTGTAAGCGTCGATTGCTTGCCAGGCCTTAATCCACATGGTAGACGTCTTAGATGGGGTTCCCCCAGAAGCAGACCCTGAGATAAGGATATGAGTGTAAAGGGTTCAGGTGTATTTGATTGATTCCAGAAAGCATCAGCAGGGACGTGGTAAAGCAAGACGGGGAAGAAGGGAGGCCAAGAACAGGGGTTGTTGGTGCAGGTTCCTGCTCTGGGCAGCGGGCTCACTGCCACAGGAACCCTGGGAGGCAGTGTGGAATGTGTCTCAGAGCAACTTCAATCCAGGGGCGAGCCTGTTCCTCCCAGGAGGTGCCACCTCCTGGGCACTTCCAGCCTGTCTGGCATGTGGGCCAGGAGACTCTGGTCACCAGAGAAAGCCACAGACCAAGAGGCAACCATGCTAGTGGTTGGACATGCTCAGGTGGGCACGCACAAAAGTTAGGGCCAGGAAAATGATGGCTTCGGCTACAATAAGGATTCAAAGATGGTTCCTCTCTTCAAGACGCTCCTGGCTCTGCAGAGAAATTAAAAAGAGAAAGAATTCTATGAGGTACCTAATTGCATGTGACTTTTTTTCTGCAGAGTATTTAATAAATTACCTAGACACTTTTATAAGTTACAATTAAAAAGTGAACGATGGAGGCCGGCCCAGTGGCATAGTGGATAAGCTTGTGTGCTCTGCTTCAGTGGCCCAGGGTTCACCAGTTTGGATCCCAGGCACAGGCCTACATACCAATCATCAAGCCATGCTGTGGTGGCACCCCACATAAAACAGAGGAAGACTGGCATAGATGTTAGCTCAGGGCCAGTCTTCCTCAAGCAACAAGGGGGAAGATTGTCAACAGATGCTAGTTCAGGACCAATCTTCCTCACCAAAAAAAAAAAAAAAAAAAAGTGAACCATGAAAAATAGCTAATTGAACAGGTTACTGAGTCTGTGGGCCAGGATTATATAAAATTTAAGATGGAACTGATTTTATTTCAAATTCTTTACCATTGCAAATATTAGCTATCACTTATGCTTGTTTTGATGGTTAAGTTAAAAAAGATATGAAATACTTAAGATAGTGCTTAACACATGTAATCACTTAACATGTGTTGTAAAATCTAAACTTTCTATATATCCATAGTTAAAACAATAAAACAGGGAAAGTGAAATAATACTTACAAGCTATATAAGGTAAATTGTATCATTTTAAAAAAAATATTTGCTGACCCTTCCTAATAGGAGGGTTATACTTCAGGCTGACTACGTGGCTGTTTTGGTCAATGAAATGAGAGTGGAACTGACGTGAAGCCCTTTCAGAAAAAGGTTTAAGAGGTGACGTGGTCTGCCATTGCTCTTTTCTCTCTGCTGCAGGCTCGACGTATTCCAGACCAACGCTGCTCTTTCCTCCCAGGGCTCAGCAGGAAGACACAAGAGGGCCCCACGCCGACCCGTGATGGTCACGTAACAGCAGGAACTTGCCTGCTACTGAAAGCCTCTACAGCTGGGGCTCCATGTCACTGCAGCTGACTGATGGAACGGGAATGAAGACAACACAGCCGTGTTTACAGGCAAACATTCTAAACTCTCTGACTACGAAGGGAAGTTAGAGATCATCAAGTCAAACTAGAGGGTTGTGCCGTCCTGGAGAAGAAAAAAACCAAAAAGTAGTTATAGACATAAGGTTTAAATCAGTGGTTCTCAAAAGTGTCTTAATGTCCCATTTTAGAAAAATCACTTCTTTAATATGTTGAAATGAAATTCATATTCTATGACCCAATAACACACATAACTTTTTAAAATTCTAAATATATCTTAACTATTATAAAAAGGAGAAATACAAAAATCGTAACTTATAAGGTAACATATATTTCAATGTTTTTATAGTAAGATAACATGCATTTTGACATGTAAATGCACAGACATGACTATACTAGATGCACCTACATCCTACACAGAAGTGTAAGAAAACGATAGTGCAGAGACCCAGGAGGCTGCTGGAACACAGCAGTGAGAGGACACACCAGCCAGTATGACAGAGAGAAAGATAACCTGGACTGAGGTAGTGATAACAAGACAAGATAAATTACAGACTGTCCAAAGGAGAAAATGCAGAAGTATGATATTTTTCACAAATAAGCTGGGCCTTTCTTAAAACTCTTACAGAAAAATAATTCACCTTTTATAACATATAGTAAGAAAAAGTATCACGGAAAACATATCTCATTTTAAAATCTCAATACATATCAATGCATAAATTTCTTATATATAAAAAGACTTGATCATATAATGGGATACTACTTAGCAATAAGCAGGCACAGACTATTGACAGATGCAACAATTAGTTCAATCTCAAAGGCATCGTCCTGAGTAAAAGAAGCCAGTATCCAGAATTCGTCCAGGCAAGTCAATGCGCATGTGGAATTCTTAAAAAGACACAACTACACAGACCTTGACAGAGGACAGATGGCTCCTTATCAGAGGTTCAGAGTAGGGGAACAGTGGGGCTGCAGATGAGCCTAAGGGAGTTTTCATAGTAATGAAACTATTCTGCATCCTGATCGTGGTGGTGGCTATGTGGAATTCATGCATGTGCTAAAAACTCATACTGCTAACACCGAAAAAAAGGGATCAACTTTATTGCATGTTAATTAAAAAGAAAGACCATTGTATTAGTCATAGTTCTACAGAGAAACAGAACCAATAGGGTGTGTGTATATATACACACATATACATACAGAAAAAGGTTTCTTATAAGGATTGGCTCATGGTGTTATGGAGGCTGGCAAGTCCAAAGCTGCAGTGCAAGCCGGCAAGCAGGCACACATGAGAGTCAACGGCATAGGTGAAGTATGAAGACAGTCTGCTGAAGAAGTCCCTCTTGCTCAAGGAGGCTGGTCTTTTTGTTCCATTCAGGCCTTCAACTGATTAGGTGAGGCCCACCCACGTTACAGAGGGCAATTTGCTTTACCTAAAGTTCACCAATGTAAAAAAATTTTTTTTTTGAGGAAGATTAGCCCTGAGTTAACTGCTGCAAATCCTCCTCTTTTTGCTAAAGAAGACTGGTCTTGAGCTAACATCCATGCCCATCTTCCTCTACTTTATATATGGAATGCCTACCACAGTACGGCTTTTGCCAAGCGGTGCCATGTCCGCACCTGGGATCTGAACCAGCTAACCCTGAGCCGCAGAGAAGCAGAACGTGCAAACTTAACCTGCTGCGCCACCGGGCTGGCCCCCCAATGTTAATCTCATTCAAAATCACCCTCCAAGTTGACAAATAAAATTAACCATCATGCCCATGGAAGCCACATCTTTCAATAAGCAATGGGAATTGATGGTAGAACAAAAACAAGAAAAATAATCTGAGGTAGTGGTTAAGTCAAGAAGCATCCCAATCATTAATAAATAAATTATTTTGATGTAACTTCAGATTTCTTATCATTTAACTTCAACATTTAAAGAGTATGTGATGGAAAAGAAAAGAATTTTAAAAACAGACTTTATTAATGAAATTTAGTAATATTTTTGTATTTTGTCTGTCCATGCATTTAATAATACTAATTCTAAACCAGACTGTGAAGGAAATTTCAAACTTTCAAATCTTTTTCATTCCAGGTAGTCCTTGCTTTACACAGTACTGTGTTAACCGAAATGATGCATTTCAGAATTGCGCAAAGTGAGGACACGGCTCCGATATGCACAGGTTTCAATACACACGGGGCCGCGCGAAGCAAGGAGTGCCTGTGCGTAGCCGACTGTGCCAGCCACCGCTTCAAACTGAAACAGGCGGACAGGCTGGCAGCTCCAACACCACAAATAGCACTGTTGTCAGTGAAGTGCACTTCTAAAATTGTAAATTACTCTTGGTGAATTTCCAAACAAAACAGAGAACAATCTTTTCTTGGTTTTCATGGTGTTTGCATTCCTGGAAAATTTAGTATGTGTTAAAATTTACAAAAAATCCTTTATGCATATCCCTAGATTTCTGTCTGCTAGATGTCTGTAGTGAACCCCTCCCTTTGTGCTGTGATAAAATTCCCACAAACTTCCAAAGTTTTTCTAAAGAAGCTGGATATATGGAATCATCACCTACAGCCTTAAGAACTTACTGAAAAACTACCCACTAAAAGCTCTACTACAACTAAATTTCAGGAGACATTTTTTTTAATATGATGATTGGACAAAGTAAGCATGCTAAAGCTTAGGAAACTCTGACATTTACCCCTCAGGTTAACATTGCCCGTAAGATCGTGTTCAATGAGCAGTTCAGATGGGGAGACAGACCTCCTCGGTTCCTCGTGGATAGCAGGTGCTCAATAAACTTGATGCAACAGTAGGGCAGGTCAACTTGGTTTTGGTTAAAAAATATTATTGGGATTATTAGTTATATAATTCCTAAAGGTGTCTTTAGTAAGATGGGAAATAATTCACTCAAAAACAGTAAATTTTCCTTAGTTTCTTTGGTTACTATTAGTTTTCTCATTGTTGCTTTAGATCAAAAGCAGTAACCCCTGTAAACCCCATTCTCGAGGTAAGAGGAAAAGGAAAATCATCACGAGAGGCTGTCAGACGAACCGGCCCAGGAACTGGCAGAGGCTGAAAACCACGTCCTTGGAGTCACGTGGTGGGAGCCCACGTGATTCAGCTCAGGGCAATCGACATGCTGTCGGGGTGTTGTTTTGTTTCTTTTAATATTTTGCTTGTAACCTAAACTTCCATAATACATTGCCAAGACGGTATAGTTGTGACCCATGTGAATGTTCTGGTAACTCACTAAAATGACTATTTACTACTTCAGTCATGCTTCTGATAACATGATTCACTTTGGATCATTCAGTTAGTAAAGACATCGAATTGGGGTCTTGATTATAAGATACTGTCACTATTTCTGAAAAAAAAAATAAAGCAATGTGCTTCTCAATGATTGTTTATCACTTGATAATTAAAGAGCCTTTCAGCTATTCTCTATATTTCAAGAACTCCTATTTTTTTCTCAGGATCCAGCAGTTCTTTGTTTTAATTTATTCTTCTTAAATGCCTCCTGCTATTTAAGCAATAATTCCTTCTAAGTCAATTGTTAGCAGCAGTTAATGACCAGTTGGTTAATTAATAGCTCAAAGCAAGGCTAATTGTGTTCCCTGTTCTAGGAAACCACTAGATTGACGAGGGTGTTGTCATTCCCACACCCTGGAATCATCTGCTCCTCGCAGCCTTTCTGCCGCATGTTATTTCATTGTAACTGAAAAGGATGAGTCGAATGGGAAATAGGCGACAGCGCTGTAAGATCGATCATAATAACACGCATATCTTTAAATTACTTGCATGTCCAGATTAATCCTTATTTCCATAGGACGTGCCGGTAGGCACGGCATGAAATACAGCTGTACGGTGAGGAGTCTCATTTAACCAGAGCATTTCCTCTCTCCAGCCTCCAGGGCTCGGAGCCCGTGTGGCTGCAGCAGCCTCATGGCATTCTGCCTCATCTCTGACCAAACCTGCACTTAGGCGCTGCGCTCCCTGACGGCGAAAGGAGAGAGACTGTGCAGCACGTTTTCTGCCTGCTGAACCTACGGTTGGCTTAGCGACGGCAGAGATGCCTTTTGCACAGCTGATGGAGAGGATGCGTGCTTAATAACTAGTGCAAGAAACTAAACATCAAGAGTCCTCGGGTCTATTCCTACCAGCTTCTGCCTTGATCTCTGTGATCACAGGGAACTAATTTGGCAAGGTTGTCCTTCTTGTGCTAATAATTCTAACAATCAGCTAAAATTAAAGAGAAGATGAATATTCATCAAGGTCAGAAAAGAGTCTCGAGGTGCTGCAATGCCCTGGAGTTTTTCCTTTTCTGGAAATATATTTATGAACATGTTGCATGAAAATAAAAGTAAGACAGATATTTTGTGATTTACTAAAGTAATGCTTTCATTTTCCCATGCCCTCCTTTTAACCAGGAACTCCTTGACACGGTATTGGCAAGACAGCTTTGGTTATATCATCCAATCCTCTCTGTGTATTTACAAGACATTGAGATACCAAGGGTAAATAACACTGTGGACGGTTAGGGTATGAATATTAGTCAATGTTTTTCTTCTATATTTCAATGTGATGCCTATTGCTGGATGAAATGGGATATTCCCATGGAATCATAAATCTCAAACCCCAACTTCAAGAATTTGCTGCCAACATGGTCACTTGAGCTTTCATAGATGATAATGGAGGAGACGAGTTGATGGATCTAGAAGCAGGAAGGAAAAGTATAGGCTATTAATGGATAGGGAAGACTCTGAAGGGAAAAACACATAAGCACTAGACTGTCTCTAGTAAAAGAAAGGTATTGGCAAATGCACGGCCAGTAAAGGTCACGTTGTGCACTTAGTCCTGTGAGAACCACAAATAGTGCTTTCGGCTGAGTCACAAAGGAAATAAGAGCCGGAGCCCAGGTCCCTGATCTCCGACAGGATCTCAAGCTTGGTTTGCAGGCTGTTGCCCAGATTGTTATTAAAGGTTACTCACTGGAGCTCCATTCTCTCTCTGTTTTATTATTTTCATGATTTCTAAAATTTCATTGTTCACTGAAACTGCCTCAGATTGCCAGGAAATGCAAAAACATATCCATTAAGATAATAAATTTCCAACAAGCTCCCAGTCTACAGAGATGATTAACAACATAAAAGATCAAAATATCCACAGAAATGACTTTTTGGCTAAACTGTTCTCCGGAGCGCATGGTCTTCCATGAGACTACCTACAATGGTCTAAACTTTGAAATACGAGTTTCCTCAGAGATATAATAGATAAACTCTTTTCTCTGCATCAATTTAAACAGCCTTCTCAGATTAGGGAGAACATATTCAAATTTTGGTAGGGGATTATTTTCTTAACTTTATCGCTACTATTAATATTAATGAAAAAAATATCTTCTGCTTGCTGAGTTTCTAGTCTATTCTAGGTGCTGGACCTTATTTCATTTAATCCTGACAATAAATATGCCTGGTTAGTGTTATTATATACATTTTATTGTGCATACTGAAGACACGAAGGTGCAGGAATGTTAAGTAACTTGCCCAAGTTCAGCCAATTAGCAATTAGCAGAGCCAGGGTTCAAGCAACAGGTCTCCCCGGCTCCACCACTGCCATTTCCAATGCATAGCACTCATTTCAGAACCCACATCATCTCTGAATCACAGTGTGTGGCTTATGATCAGAACACAATCATCTTTTTCATCCTTCAAGTTTCATTTTTGTACCACATTTGCGTTATGTTTTCCTAAAATTTATTTCCAACCATAGAATTATCTAGAGGAAAAAAACAAGAATGTGAGGTCATTCTTGCCTTCTGAAGTCTCTTGATTAAAATTATATGGCTGACCCTGAAACAGAATTCCTCACCTCAAAGTTCATTTTCACGGCTGAATGGAAACCCATGGGCAAGCAAACCAAGTCTGTGTTCCCAGGACATAGACCCAAGGGCCGTGGGAGCGCTGGGGATGTTTTACTCTGGTCAATAGGCTTTTGGGAGAATCAGCCACGGGCAAGTGTGCTTTCTGGGGTCCTCCAAGGGTGCTCGGTCTGGTAGTTCAACTGAAGGCAGCCTGACCGGCTCAGGAATGAGCATAATGCAATAATGGGAGAGTCAAAAGCAACCTTTGTACTTCTAAATGATTTGCAATAATTATAGCTGTGGGTCTAGAATCAACAACATTACTTCCACATTTGTCAAAGCAAGAGGAAAAAAATCCCTGTGCAACCCCACTCACGTCAAATGCAGAATTTCTTTGTTAAATTGGCTTTTGTTTCAGGTCCACCGCCTAGACTTCTCTGCCTTAAGGCAGGCTGCTGTGTAAGCCTATCACAGCTATTACTTAGTGATGGATTGAAAAGCTAAGCATGATCGATCATCCTATGGGTCTGGGACAACCTTGCCGTAGATTACATAGCAATATTTCAGTCGACTGGGCTATGTTTGCTTTATGTAAGAAGCAATAAGCCATGCATAAGAAATTGATTTCTCACACACAACCGAATGAACATATTTGTCTTTTAAGCCACACTAATTATTCACATAGTTTGGCAAATATTCAAAATACTGCAGCAGTGGAAACTAATGCAGGAAAAATAATTTTCACACATTTTCATTTTCTGTGAAAATTGTTCTTCCAATTCCCTAAGTGTTTTCCTTACAGTTCATTAGAAAATGTTTAATCTCCACCAAACTGTCTTCAAAGCAGTATATTTTCTATTCCTTTATATTACATCACTGGTGAACAATAATCCGAGAAGGTGGGGTTGAAAAGTAAAGGCAGCAGCCTGGGGTCAGCATTTGGTTCTTCAAGCTTCGGCCTACGACCAGCTTCAGAAAAGGAAGTGAGGAGTGAGACCTCCATCTCAGGGATGCAGGCGCTGGTTTGAGTCTCAAGGACAGTTTAAAGGGTAGCCAGCACTAAGACGAGCCATCGAGTGGGAGAAATGCTGCTTGGTGAAGCCTGCCTCTGTCTGACTACCAGTGAGCGCCCCAGCGAGTGTGGGAAGAAAAGAGAGGAGGCAGACCTCAGGGAAAGTCATGTCCTAAACTCCACCAGAGGCATTCGGATCCAACCACCGCAGCAGCTGAGAAAGTCAGAGCTCCCTCTCCATCGTGATGTGTAAGCAGAGGAAGAATCTATTCACTTTATCCTGTCATTAAGTGAATAGCTGCTATAGACATCCAAATTATCCCTCAAAAAAAACCAAAACTGGCAAATATTCTCAGGGAAGTCTTCATGATTTACAGCAATATGAATTTCACCCTGACAAATTGTTTTTTCCAAGGCTTGCCTTTCCTAATGATTATTGTCCAAAGGTTATGCAGTGATAGCCAACAGAATACTCTCTACAGAATTAGAGAAAGGATAGCATTCAAGAGCTCCATTTAAGTTCAGATGCATCTAGGCTAAAGCGGCTTTGTGCTAGATTGATCTCCAGACTTTTTCAGTCGCTTTTGATTCATTAGAATGTGTGGAGAGAAAGGAGGTTACTTGTAATGACGGATGGTTAATCACACTTTTTTCTCTCTCATTTTGAGGATGACCCATGTGGACAACCTTGGCATAGGCCTATCTTTTGCAGACCCTGAGGCAAAAATATGAACAGAGCTCAAATTATTTAAAACGTACAAATCAAGCTTATTTTAAAAAAACACTTATTAAATAAAATATATTCTATCTTCTTATCTAGACAAACATCCTCTGAAACCACCTGGAACACCAGATTGAAATTTGGAGTTCTCGGATGTCTCAGAGTTGCACGCTGGGAAGGCAACAGGCTCAGGATCTGTGTCCTGGGCTGTGAAGCTGGTGGAAACATTTTCTAAATCTGCTCCAATTTTCCAACATTACTCCCAGAATGTGCAGATCAAAACTGAACAGAATATGCTCTGCTTCAGAAAGAAAGGCAATGTGTACATATTTTGGAAAGATATCTATCCGAAATAGTTTGAGGACATAAGAGAGAAGTTTGATTTGCCTGAAAAAGCACTTACCAGAGTCAGCTCCCAGCGGAAAGTCACCAGACAGATGCGAGCGAGCTGCTCTGGAGCAGGCGCGGGCAGACGGCGACAGGGAAAGGCACTTTCTTGGCTCTCACAGGTCCTACCACTGCCACATCCATGTATCGGTTACATTTTATGGCACTGTCGCGGCTTGGTATGGCTGACTGAAAGGCTTTTTTTCCTAAATAGCTTTTTATATGAAAAATTCACAACCCAATTTTTTTTTTTAGTTTATTTAAATATCTTTTATTATTTTTATCTTCTATTCCTTAACTCTTTCTCTCGGCACCTATCATTTACTGGGTGTTCTGCCAGGTGTAAGATCTACAGAGATGACAAAGACAGATCTCTGCCCAGTCAAGGGGCTTCAGGTGGCCTCTGGCCTACCTGGGGTGAAATGTTGATCTCTGATAACATGATTTGAGCACTTTGAAAGATACTTCAACATTTTCTCAAGGCAAACTAAAACAGGATTTTGCAGGGACCCCATAAAGTAAGGCACAGTGAGAAGAGTCTGGCTCCACACAGGGGAAAGCAGCCTTCCCAGGTGGGCTGGCAGCCCCTCCGGATGCCCCTCGCTGCTGTGACCGCTGCGGCCTGCCTCCCCTCCTAGAACTAATCTGTATTGAGTGCTTACTATAAGCAATTCTCATGTTTGAGTTCATTATCTCATTTATTTCCCATATAAAGGCTCCAAGATCCACACAGCATCAGAAGCCTCCGGCCCTCCTCATAGGAGAGCAGCATCTGAGGCCAGCAGCTTTGGAAAACTCTCACGGCTCCTTAAACATTACTTCCTGGCTAGAGAAGGGTCTAATTCTATGTTCTGTACAGTGTGTAACTCCATGTTGGTGCTCAATAAATTAAATACCAATAATAACTATGGTGGTAATCAGAATTCCTTTTGATATAAACTAGTTTGTCTCAACTTTGTTTTTACCCTGTGTTTCCTAGTAATTGCCTGGCATTTTCCCTGCTGTTCTTGTCTTTTTTAATTACATCCTACTGACATGACTCTTAAAGCATCTTAAAGCAGATGGAAGACAGGCTTAATTCTTTCTACACAAGAGGAGCAGCAGGCAGCAGGTGCCTGGCAGTCGAAATAATAAACTCAGAAGATACGGGCAGGGTCTTGCACTCTTTCCTCATAAATACAAAAGGGGAGGATGGGCGAGAGTGAGTGCATGGCAGGAAGGAGAGAGGAATTAGCTGGCACGAGTGCGCTGATGAGGGCAAGCGTCTTTGCTTACACTTTAGTTGTATTGGGGAGAGTTGGTGCATTACAGCAATTCACAACACAAGGCATTTGCTCAGGGTTGGAGAAGGAAGATGTGTGTATAAAGTTACTTATTGACAGTAATTAAGCATCTATGTCACATAAACCACAAGTTTGTGGCCCAGTGGAGAAATACAAAGTTGACTTCATCTCTATACTTAGTGTTCATGCTGCTGATTGAAAAATCAGGTGTTTTCAGAGACCTAAGGCTGTGGTTGTGGGGCCCCAGCACCCTGGGTTTCGGAGGTCCAGTTGACCCAGGATTACTGAGGTTTATGTTAACTGCTAAAGGATCACTGAGGTTGTCTTCATCTAGTTGGCAGTAGCAATAGCTTTCGGATAGGGAAGCTTATCATATGGATTGCTGAGATGACCAAGGAGCTGCCATAACTGTCCAGGGAAACACAAAATAAGAACATGTATCGACTGCCTGCTATGTGCCCCCTTGTTTATGATGCTTCCTGTAATCGCGATGCCAACTCTACAAGGAAACACTCCCATCTTCATTTTTCAGTTGAGGAAATCATGTAAGAGAGGATAAATAACATTCCTAATGTCTTAAGTAGCCAAGCCAGGATTGCTTCCTAGTTCGATCTGACTCCACATTCAGCATGTTTCCTGTGGACAAGTGCTGGTGACTGATTTGAGAAGAAAAGGAGACAAGAGTGAAACGCAAGTCCATCTTGTTCTGGCTCTCATAGGAGTAAGAGGCACAATGTGAGCCCTGAAGAGGCTCGGGCGGGCGGGATCTTGCTAAGAAGGGGGCAACTTGTATTTGATGACTGCAGATGGCGTCTTCTCCTTGGCCAACCGTGTTACAATTTCTGTAGACTATCATAAAGGGAGTGGGGCCAGCAGGAATGGACAGAGAAGTACAAAGCTATCAATATCGATGGAAAAAGTGACCTAAAGCACAGGACCAACTGTGGGTAGATGAGGACAGTCTCTGTAGGACAGCACTTCAATACAGTGTGACCAAGCCATTCTCGCTCATCTGGCCTGAGGAATATCTAGTCTTTTTCCTAATTGCTGGCCATTGACTAGGAGACAGCACCATCTTCCCTCACTGGGGCACTCACACTGATACTCCGTCTATTTTCCTTGTCTGAAACAGCTTTCTTTCACATTTTCCCTGTTTATGATTATCCTTCCAGCTGACCTGTGCCTGGTCTTCATTGTGCCAGCAAAATTAATCATCCTATTATCAAATTTTTTATTTACTCTCCATTATATGTGGACTGCTTATTAGATAATTTCATAAAGAGGTTGTTAAATCTATTTCTCCCACTAGATTGTGAGCAATTTGAGATGTCCAAATCATCTTTGCATCCCTAGCTTTGGGCGCACAGCCTACCTGGCACATAGTAGATACTCAGTATGTAAAAGAAAAAAAGAATAAAATTCTCATTGTAGTTAACTCTGGTTTAAGTAGGCAAGTCATGGAGGCCCATTCACCAACGACAGCTCTGTGCTGGTCTGGCTGGAATGAATACGTTTTTTTTCCTGGTTACTTTCTTGAGGATAGATGTTTATATTAAAAATAGTGTCATTTTGGGGCCAGCCCAGTGGCATAGTTGTTAAGTGCAGTTCACTCTTCTTCAGTGGCCTGGGTTCACGGGTACAGATCCCAGGCATGGACCTACACCACTCATCACGCCATGCTGTGGCTACATCCCACATAAAAAAAAGAGAGAGATGGGCACAGGTATTAGCTCAGGGCCACTCTTACTCAAGCAAAAAGAAAAAGATTGGCAATAGTTGTTAGCTCAGGACCAATCTTCCTTACCAAAAAAAAAACAAACAAAGTACTTTCATTTCCTCAAAAATCAAGCATTAGGCAAGATTCTTCAGGACCTTCCAAGTTATGGATAGAAGCCCTAGCAAATTTATGTAATCTTCCAAAGTCAGTATATAATGTTAACCCCTTTGGTACATTTTTTTCAAACCATATTTATTAAGTGTCTATGTTATATCTAAAGAACTCATCGATGAATATTGACAGTCCCTGCTTTCAGGAAGCCTACAGTGCAGTGGGGAAGACAGAAATTTTATAACCTGCAAAAATATTTATTAAATTACATGTGTAGAATATAATTGGAAAAGTTCTTTATGGAAAAGTACAGGTGGCATGTAAGCATGTAACAGGAGGAACTCATTTCTTTGGTGAAGGTAATCTGAACAAATAACATGAGCGAAAGAAAAGAACTAGTCCGTGAAAGAGGTCATGTTGACTTAAGCTAGGGTTGCGACAGCACATATGGACAGAGTGAACAAATTTGATGCATATTTCAAAATTTAAATCAGTAAGACTTTGTGGTTGGATGGGAAAGAGTTATGAAAAGAAAGAGATAGCAAGGGTGACCCGAGTGAATAATGATGGCATCCACTGAGATCAGCAATAATGATTAGGGATGGTGGATAGATGCGGAGCAGGTATGAATGAGAAATTCAATTTTGGAATGTTTACATAAAGAGAGTTTATATGAATCCTAAAAATGGAAATGAAACTATATAAATAAGAATTTTTTCAGCCTTCAAATAAACTTTTAAAGCAACACTGTCCCTTATTCTTGAGAAGACCACATAGACCGCGGTGAACTCCCACATCTACGACGATCTCGCCACATTTTCATAGCTTCCTATATTTTGAATCCTATTCTAAGTTAAAATTTAAAAAGAAAAAATATTTTCCACACTCCTTTACAGTTGGGTTCAAACGTGAACCTTAAATTCCATCAAGCGGATATACCTGCTGAAACTTTGATTTGAAAGTGGGCTGCTAAAAGCAAGAAGCTAAGCATCCATTTTTTGGGTGTGCTGGCATTGTTTTGAAGCTGGTGGTGGCAGCAGCGACCATATCAGGCCTGTTAGAAACAAGGTTCTATTGTTGTTCCCAAAAGCTTAAAGCCTGTTTCTCCAGATCTTACAGTCATTCTCTGAGCTGGGTAAAATTCCCTAGTGACTTGCATTCTGTTTAAAGTAGCAAGAGTTGGAATCTTCAACTCAAACAACTCAGTCTGATAGATGCACAGAGCGATAATATATTAATATATTGACATATGTATTGAATAACAATACATATTGTTATTAACAACTTATTGTTATTAACAATACGTATTGTGTTGTTATTCACTATGTATATTATACATATAATATATACTGTTGTGCAATATATAACAACATATATTATATGTTATATATTGAACAACACATCTACTTAAAGTGTGGACATATCAGAGATGCTTCTAAAAAGTAACCTAATAATTTTAAACTTAATGATTAAGTTCATAAAATGTAAAAGAATGCCACAAAAAAGAAAGTAAACTTCAAAAACTGCAGGAAATTAACATAAAAGCCAATTCTCAAGGTATATTTATAATCAGCCTCTAGAAGACAGAAAAGAAAAATAGAAAGGAAATCTTTGTATATAATTCTAAGTCAGCAGATGAAAAGTTATTACATAAGAGGAATACCCACCCTAGGCTTTCAAATTTTCAGTTTACATTGAATCCAGAAAATGCTGCCGTAGACAAGTCAGTGTAGAAAAATCTAAGAAACTTTCACGAAAGCAGAAAGTTGGCTGGAGCTACTCTTTTGCTATCTCAAGTCGAGATGCAGACTGCCTTAAGGAGAACGAATATTTATCTAATGCACTCTACATGCCGGGACCTGAGTTAGGCACTTGCCTCACAATGTCCTACAGATGAAGAGTATGAGGTTTAGGGAAAATTGACATTATGTAGCTGGTAAGGGGACAAGTCTGAGGTTCAAACAAATTGCCTGGCT